ATAATGGAGATGATTACTCAACACCGTGCCTCTCGATTGTACACTGGTCACAATGGCGAATTTAACAAGGTATCGTGTTTTTACCATGTTAGAAAAACAACCAATAGGATTGACACCTTTCTGGATTATTTTTGACCCAGAGCTGGGGTCAGCTCTGACTCATGGTGGCAACCATGTGGCCTGGCATTGTGCCCGCCCTCTCCATCACAGTGGATCTGTTAGAGTCCATTGGTGCTGCGGTTGTGTTAATCCATCTCACCGAAGGTCTTCCTCATTTCCCCTGGCCCTCTCCTTGCCCAAACACAATATCCTTTCTTTAGCTACTTTTCCCCCCCTGGTGGCCTGTCCAAAGTAAGCCAACTGAAGTTTTATCATCCTCACTTCTAAGGACCATGGTGGTTGCTTTACAATTCCTCTAACCTAAGGAACACACCTATTAGAATGGCTAAAAAGAAAAAGTCTCATCTTACCAAGTGTTGGCGACATGTGGTAATGCATGGAACATAAAAGGATACAGCCCCCCTGGGAACACTTTGGCACAGTCTTTAAAGTCAGACGTATACCTATCATATGACTTAGCCGTTCTGCTCCCTGAAGTTTTACCCCAAGGGACTTGAAAGTATTTGTCCATATCAAATGTTCACGACAGCATTATTTTTAAGGACCCATAAGTGGGGGCAACCGAAATGTTTATCAACAGGCGAATGGCTTAAACGACTGTGTTATATCGGCACAATAGGCCATGAGCTAGACAGACCCATGGATGGATAGCTGCCTGAGAGTCAACTCCAATCCAGGGCCACCAGGTGCTCAACAAAGAGAATTGAATGTTGCCCAGTCCTACGCCCCTATTCAGGATTGTTATCATGTCCAAGTCCATCCTAATGGAATACTAGTCAGCCATTAAAAACAGCAAACTACTGGTCTATTCTACAATGTAGAATCTTAAAAAAACAAAACAAAAAAACCAACTCAGCCAGACCAAAAATGCAGCAGATATACCCCGTCCTCCCAGCCCCCCATTTTGGTGGCGCTCATCACAGTAACTCATGGCTTCACCACCCAGCCTCATGTGTCTCCTCTCCTTCAAGACCACACAGAATCCTTAGCAATGTCTACTATCCCTTGTAATCACAGAATAGTGCCTGAGAAAGACGACACACTTCAAAACGTCAAGGAAGAGAGCCATTGTCTTTTCATTCTATTTTCCCATGCACTTTTAAAAGCCCCCTTATATAGCTGTAAGTCGCTCAACGGTAACATTTACTAGATTACATGAATGTCGTTGTTGTCGGGTGCTGTGAGGTTGCTTCTGACCCACAATGATTCTATGCACAAAAGAAACCCCTCCCCGCCCCCTACCCCAGGTCCAGCGGCATCCTCTCAATTGTTATGCTTTATTGAGCCCCTTGCTGCCATGGCTGAATCAATCCGTCTGGTGGAAGGCCTTCCTTGTTTCCCTCTGATGTTCTACTTTCCGAACCAGGTGTCCTTGTCCAGGGGCTGGTCTCTTGTGATCACTTGTCCAAAGGATGTGTTTTGTAAAATCCTTCCACGTCGAACTACATGATCAGTGACAACTTTATCAGTAACTGGGCAAAAGCCTTGTGACAGAGTGGTGGCCTCGCCGCATTTTTCCTGGCTGTCATCTTCACGGGAGCCGACAGCCAGGTCTCATTCCTAGGACGCCTCTTGCTGGTGGGTTGGAACTGCCAACGTTTTGGTTAGCAGTCAGGTCCTTAAGCATTGTACAGCCAGGGCTCCTTGGTGTTGCCCTAAGAATCAAAGAATAAAGGGCAGAATAAGACAAATCAAAGAATGTGCCTTCATATGTAGTCCCCATAGCAGCCCTGGGGCTTTGGTGGCGCTGTGGGCTATGCGTGGAGTGCTAACCGCAAGGTTGGTGGTTTGAACTCCCCAGCCGCCCCGAGGGAGAAAGACGAGGCTGCCTGCTCCTGTAAAGACGGACACAGGGGCAGTTCTACTCTGTCCTGTAGAGTCTCTCTGAGTTGGATCCACTCAATGACAGTGGGTTTGGTTTTGGTTTTTGCTACAACACATCCAGCCTAAGAGAGGAAAATGAGCTCATCAGGGAAAATAGTTTTGAAATTTTAGTATGCTAGTTGCCAAAAAAAAAAGCGCTACTCCAAGGAGCCCTAGTGGCGCAGTTGTTGAAGCTCTTGGCTACTAACCAAAAGGCCAGCAGTTCAAACTCACCAGGCACTCCTTGGGAGAAAGCTGAGGCAGTCTAGTTCCATAAAGATTCACAGCCTTGGAAACCCAGTGGAGCACTTCGGCACAGTCCTATACAGTCCTCGTGAGCCTGACCCGACTCCACTGCAGGGGGTTGGGTGGGGTTTCTGGATGCTTTCATCATGAAGAAAAAGGATGAGTCAGCTCCTCATTCACACTAGACCCTTGTCCAATCCTCAATGGCTGCATGTGAGTCATCGCTGCCATATTGGCTAGCACCGATGGGGACTATTTCCATGACTGCGAAAGGTCAGACTGGCCAACACTGCTGTCCGGCCCTCCGGACAAGTAGCTTGTAGCTCAGCAGAGGCGTACCTGTTGGTAGATTGTGCCCCCTGCCTACTTCCTTGGGGGCCGCGTTTCTCTGATTTCGTTTGGCCTTGTGGTAAGACGAACACCTAACGCTTCTCTGACCCGCATCCTTGTGTTTGCTCTGTTTTGCAGCTGTTTTCTCAGTCATTCTATGCGGCGCTTTGACAAACCAGGATCTGCCCGTGATCAAGTGTGTCTTGATCAACCACCAGGACAACGATTCGGCAGCAGGACTCTCCTCGTCACACCCCACGGTAATGTCCCAAGGAAACGGTGGCCGGGGAGCTTTGTGCTTCTAGAAGCCTTGCTTTGTGGGCTCTCAAGACCGAGAACGAGCCAGTGGTCTTTTCTCAGGGCGTCATGAGCCAGCAAGCGCGCATCCCCGGCTCAGGTCCGGCATTCACTCCCAGAACTACCTGCAACTCCATTCCACCAGGACATGAATCCCTGGCACGAATCCCAGCTTCTCTCCCAACCTGGAGACTTGAGTCCTTAATTTCCAACAGCTTCTTAGACCTACATGTGCATAGATACCGATTTCCTATTTGCACATCGCAGCCAACCATATAATCAATTTGAATGCGATGTCCTCAAGCCCACTCCTGTTCTCCTGTGGGTGTACGCCTCAGTCTCGATCCTTGCCCTCATTGGGTACTGGATTTTGTCAATTCCCGCTCGTTAATGTGGCTCTTCTTTCCGCCTCCGCTTCTCTCATTGCACCGTCACTTCCATCGCTCAGCCTTTGTTAACCAAAGCCATTGCTGATGCTGACTTATATCGACCCCATAGGGTAGACTGGGACGGCCCCACGGGACCCCAAGGCTGTAGTCTTTACAGGAACAGTCGGTCAGAGCTTTCTCTTAAGATTAAAAAAAAAAAGCTGATTTTTTAGTTAGCAACCGAGTGCTTAACCACCGCGCCACCAGGGATCCTAAGCCCCAGTTGTTATTAGGCGCTGTCGAGTCAGTTTGGACTCCTGGCAACCCCAGGCACAACCGTTCGAAGCACCGCCGGATCCGAACCACGCTCACCGTCATGGCTACGTGTGAGTCCGTTGGTGCAACCGCTGTATCCGTCCACCTCCCGAGGGCCCTCTTCTTTATCACTGAGCGTCGACTCTCCCAAGCAGGCTGTCCTTCCCCAGCGACCGGCCCCTCCTGGTAACATCTATCCCGCCCTACCTACCCACCAATCAGGATTCACGGGACCCTGGTGGCAGCGTGGATTAGGCACTGAACTGCTAAGCCCTAGGCCAGGGCTTTGAACCCACCAGGCACGCTGGCAGGAGAGACAGGAGGAGCTGTCTGCAACTGTAAACATTTCTCAAAAACTCACTGCCGTTGAGTCAGTTCCGGCTCATAGTGACCCTATGGGACAGGGTGGAGCTTCCCCATCGCTTTCTAAGACCAGAACGCTTTCTGGGAGTAGAAAGCTTCATCTTTCTCCCACGCAAAGATTTACAGCCTCAGAAACCCAACGGAACAGTTAGTTCTCCTTTGCCTTCCTGGGTCCCTAGGAGTCAGAACTACCTCGGTGACAGTGGATTTGGGGTGGGTCATCAAGGTTCTGTCCCCTCTGACCATCCTCTCTCTGGTTCAGAGCAGACAGGGCTGCAGCCTCGTCTTGGTGTTTGACTACGGCATTCAAGGTGCTCCATAACTGGCTCAATCAAGAGCAGTGTAGCCGAGAGGAAGTGCAGAGAGCCGAATGAAGGTCGAACATGATAGTGGGACAGGAGGAAAGTAAAAGGAAATAGAGGAAAGAACTAGGAGGCCAAAGACATTTATAGAGGCATAAACATAGGCATATATATATGTAAATATGTATACATATGTAATAACAATAGGGATACAGGTCTATGTACATCTTTTATAAGTTAAGTATTAAGGTAGCAGATGGACATTGGGCCTCCACTCAAGTCCTCCCTCAATGCAAGAACACTTTGTTCTAATAATGTGCCATGGTGTGATGCTCACCTTCCCCATATGATTGCTGAAGATAAACTGGGTGCATAAGCTAATGTGACGAAGAAAGCTGATGGTGCCCGGCTATTACAAGATATAGCATCTGGGGTCTTAAAGGCTTGAAGTTAAACAAGTGGCTATCTAGCAGGGAAGCAACAATGCCCTCATTGAAAAAGCACACGGGATCAGGTATCAGAAGATCCAAAACAAACAATCATTTTGATGTGAACGAGGTGGGTCAGAATGGAGACCCAAAGCCCATCTGGAAACAATCGGACATCCTCTCCCAGAAGGGTCTCAAGGAAGGGAAGAATCAGCCAGAGTGCAGTATAGCACCAACGAAATACACAATATTCCTATAGTTATATAATGTTTCCTCCCCCTGCCCCGGCCCACTATCATGACCCCAGCACTATCTTTTTTTCTTTTTAAAATCATTTTATTGGGGGATCCTACAACTCTTATCACAATCCATACAT